CCGTGTTTGTGCTTGACGGGGAAGAAGCGCACGCCGCGGCGTGCATGTGAGGACAGATGACAGCTTTGTGGAGCTCTCCTTCCAGCTCTATACAGGTTCTGAACCATCTAGCATGAAGCTTACTGGTCTGGGCCTCAGGCACTCAGGGCTCTCTGGTTAAGTGCACATGTGCTCGTGACTGATTTCTTCCTTATCTTATAAAATGCCCCTCTTTGGGTTGGCGTACATCTTTCAGAACATAGAGAAGAATCTGTGTGCTGCAGGCCAGCCTCAACTACATAGTGAGAGCACCCACCCACAAAGCCCCTCTCTCATTTGGCAATCCTATGAGATGACAGTTTCTTCTTCAAACCACTTCATAGTTCATGAACTCACCAAGAGCTCTGTGGGTGCTGGACCTCCTCTCTCCACGAGCCTGTGGGGCATCATGTCACTGAAGAGGCCAGCCTGAAGCTCCCTGCCCACTGGTGAGCCGTCCTGCGGATACATCGCCTTCTTTCTTGTCTTATGTTAGACACTGCTTTCCTCTTTGTGCTTTGAAGTTATTTCCTTGCTTGAGACAGATATCACTATGTAGGGTCAGGCCATGCTTTACTCTTGGTCCTCACAGCACTGGAGTGACAGTTGTCATTATCTTGACAAGATCTACTGACCAAAATCTGTAATAGCGAAGTGCTGCCCTGGGCTCCACATCCCAAGCAAACAGCTGGTGGTCAGCCTACTCACCAAGGACTGGGAAAATGTGAGCAGTCCCGGGTAATATACCTCACCTCACTCTCCCCCAGGAAAGTGTGCTCAGGGAGACGCCGTGAGCCCTGGCAGGCTTCCGGGTGGTGAGGAGTGCAGTCTCTGTCTCACTGTGCAACCACTGCCTTTTGGAAGGAGATTTGATGCTTTCTTCAGTCATAATCCCTGACTGCCTTCCAAACTCTATCTACTCCAAATGTAGAACACACTAGGAGATGGCCAGAAAACTCTAGACTTCCTTCTGGCCCCACTGCTGCACCTTGCCACCCATGTTCCAAGTCACACAGACATTTACAGAAGATCACTTAGTGATTCCAATCCTCCTCCTCCTCCTCCTCCTCGAAGAAAACAAAATCCCATGTCTTTGCCACCACCAGAGCCTGCCCTAGCCTTCAAAATATCCATGAGAGCATGAGACAGAAGTTTTGAAAAAGAACCAATTAGAATTCTGGAAGCAGGCTGGAGAGATGGCTCAGTGGTTAAGAGCACATACTGCTCTTGCGGAGAACTGGAACTCCAGCCCCAGTGAGATGACAGCCTTCTTGGGCACACATACAACACACACACACACACACAGATAACAAAGAGAGAAATCCCAGAAGCATACAGTCAAAACTGTTGGTAGCGGTGCTCAGTGACCCCAGTTGTGAGATGCTGGCACAACGTGGTGTTTGACTTTCACAGACCCTGCATGTGCTGTGCTGTATGTCATTCACAACAGCTGATTTACTGCGAACTCTGCAAGCAGGCACACCACACTGCTCAACATGTTTAGCACAAGCAAAAATCCTACACTTTTCTTTTTGGTGCTGGACATTGAAATCATGGCCCTGCTCTACCTGGCATAATCTTGACTGTCAGCTTGAGGGCATTTATAGTCATCTAAAAGAGACGCATGTCTAGGCCACTGTGAATGAAGGCAGCACTACACCATGGCCTGGGATCCAATTCTGCACAAAAAGGAAGAAAGGATTCGCATGGCAGCATTATTTATCATCCTCTGTTTTCTGACTAGCTGCCTCATGCCCAGCCTCCCTGCCACCCGTGGGTTTGTCCTCAAACATAACCAACTAAGCTTTTCTGTCCTTAAGCAGTTTTGTCAGGCATTCTGTCACAGCAGTGAGAAAGATATTACTACTACGTTACACCCTCCCGGCCCACCCACCATTTCTGACTGTGACTGGTTAAAACCATTAGTGTGGAACCCATCAGGACAGGGAGCACTGCCTATGCTATGAAACAGTGTGCATGAATCTCAAAGACACAGTGCAAAAGGAAAGCCAGACGACAAAGAGGACAAACTCTTTACATAAAGTCTACAAATGCACACAAAGCTAATCTGCTGGAAGCTAAGCTATTCAGTCAGGAAACCACATACCCTTGGAGGTTAGGGGATCATCTCTTGGTTTGGACCAAAGACGTGGTATCACAAACTTTTCAAATTTATAAAGTAGGCAATGGGGATATGGCCCCACCCCAAGCACCCACATAAATAGTAGGGCTTGGTGGCATGGAGACCGTTGGGTCACTGGGCTCACTTTCCAAACTGCCAAGCCTCAGGCCAGTGAGAGAGGGTCTTAAAAAGCAAGGCAGACAGCTCCTGAGTAATACCTATGGCTGACTTCTGACCTCCATGAGTACACTGAGTCTCACTCCCTCCACACAAGTTAACAAAAAAAATTTAAAAGAGCCAGACATGTTGGCACACATCTTTAACCAGCAATGGGAGACAAAGGCAGGAAGATGGGTCTCTTTGAGTTCAAGGCTAGCCTAGTCTACATCCATAGTTCCAAGCCAGCCATGGCTACCAATAAGACCTTGCCTCAAAAGAAAAAGCAAAAAAATAAAAAAATAAAAAAAAATTCACTCATTTTAGCACAATTAACAGCAGGCGCCTCCATTTGGCTCATCTGACTGCAGAGCCTGGAAAACCGTGGCCACTGATGTGGTCACACAGCTCCTTATATGCATCCTTATTTGTAGGACTTGAATTTTGGAAACTAGCTTTGTCTTATCACCCTTGGAAAAGTGTGCCAATTTACCAGGTTGAGCTGGCACTGTATGGGAATTGCAGCCATATTGGTCTAGAAATGTTCAACTTAAAATATTCTTTCCATAGCCAGGTGGATCTCTGTGAGTTTGAACTCACTACAGAGTGAGTTCCAGGACAGCCAGGGCTGCATGGAGAAACCCTGTCTGGAAATCACCCCCCCCCCTTTTTCTTTCCTGTTGAACAGGTAATGTATGGCATTAAGCCTTCGAGGGAGGCTTTTTCAGTGCACAACTGATAAGATGCTCAAAGCAAGAGTCCCTCATGTCACTACTCTGGGTGGGTACACTCACTACAGCAGTCCACACAGCCCAACTCTTGCCTAACACCAACAGAACACACAGTCCCTAAAGACGACCCTGTCAGACACCCTAAGGAAAACCAAACACAGAAACCAGAGCTGCTCCCACTCTGCAGAGGTTGCCACTGAGTGCTCACTTCCTGTCACCAGGATGAAACGTGGCTGGATGTTATGCCTGGGAAAAGCTGGAGCATGTGACCCAGCCCCCACTCTGCCCACTGACCTGTACCAGCCAGGGCCCTCACTCCAGGGTTACCTGGGTGATCTGTTCCCTGCATCCTTAAGTGCCATAAGAAAGCATCCTAAGCATTAGCTTCAATGAATCTAAGGGCAGCTTAGAAACCAGAGGCAGGCAGATCTCTGTGAGTTCAAGGCCACCCTGGTCTACAAGCAAGTTCCAGGCAGGCTCCAAAGTTACAGTAAAACCATATCTTGAAAAACTAAAAGAATAGAAACCAAAAGCTGAGGGGAGGGCCCAGACATCAGAGGCTGTTACAGCCCTGGGCTTCGACAGCACAGAAGCGACTCTTTCGCCCTTTCACACTCAACTTTGGACTTTATCAGCCCGCCCACAGAGGAGCAGGCCACAGTAGGACGAAGTATGGAACAGATCTGGCACACCCCAATGCACCTACTCACTCTCCCTCAGCTTTGGGAGCTCATCCACCAGAGGTCTCAGAGGGCTGAGGACCCAGTAAGGCCAAGGGAGGGAAAGGAGCCCAACCCTGCCCCTTTGACTTAAATAAGCTTTAGGTTGGGGGAGGGCCTGGACCTTCCCCGGAACAAAATAACAGACTCTAGAGATCCCCCATGGGGGGCCTTACCCTCCCTGGGGAATGGAGTGGGAATAGGGTGGAGGGCTAGGGGTGGCTGATGGGCGGGAACGGGCATGGAGGGGAGGGAGAGGGAGCTGGGACTAATATGGCAAAAGCAAGCTTGTTTCTAATTTAAATATATAATAAAAAAGTGTTTTAAAAAATAAGCCTTAGGTTTAGAACGGGGCAACAAAAAGCAGTCAGAGAAGAAGACTGGTTTTTGAGGGAGCAAAAATGTTATTAAAACAGGGTCCTGGGCATGCCAGGCTGGCCTCTAACTCCATCTTCCCGTCTGCACCTCCTGGAATGACATGCATACATACCCTGCCACATTTGTCCAGATGAGAAAAGCCTTCCTCATGGAAAATTCAGGGTTCTCAATAGAGGGGAGGCTGGACTTTGCCACTGACCTCAAAATAGTCAGGATTCTAAGTTGCACCAGCCAATATGGGGGTCCTCAGGGTCCCAACCCTGAACTTTCCACAAGGCTGACAGACTGCAATCCCTGTACACTTCAGGGACCATGTGGAGAACCAGTGTCCTGCAGCCCACCAGTGCTGGCCCTAGGTAAACAGCTCACTAGGGAGCGGGAGGCTATGGCCTCAGTGGAGTCTGGGGCAAATGCTCCATTCTGGGGTGTTCTGAAGAAAGGGTAACAGAGGTACTGGGAAAAAGGGTTTCTGAGTGAAGACCTGATGGGAGGCTGAGTCGGACTTGCTCCAAGCTGTCACCTGTGAGTGTCACAAAGCCTGAGTACCAGCAAAGTTTCCATGAAGTAAATGCGGATGACCAGGAGAAAACACAGAGCAGAAGGCAGAAGCCTGCCAGAGCAATGGGAGGCCCTGCCTTTGAGGAGCGACATAGGCAGGGCGTGGCAGCCTGGCCTCCCTGAGGCACTCACACCAAAGGAATGTTCCAGTCCTCCTGTAACCCCAGAAGTGGCAGGCCCACTGACAGCAGGGGACTTCCACCCCTCTGAGACTCATGAACTAGCCACTGACAGGGCCCTAGCTTAGGACTCAGTCAGGGACACCTGCACTTAGCCTCTGCTAAGCTCCAGCCAGGCCCATTGGGTCTTCTCACTCACCTGTGTGAGGTGCGCATGTCCACAGGCCCGTCTCCTACCAGCCCTTCGCCTGATCCTGTGGCTGTGGTCTCTGCTGTCCTCAGCAACCCATGGGCTGGGCCTGCGCACGGCTCAGGCATCACCCTGGTGTCTCTGTCCACAGTTAGCTCTGAGGCTCCTCTCTCCATTTTCATTTTCTTGCTGTCCACATCATCCTCCGTTAGGTCAGGGTCAAGGGCTCGTTTCTGACTGCGGGTTCGACATGCTTCTTCGTTCATTCTGTATGTGGAAGGGAGGACACAGCATTTGAGCCAGTCGTGGAAAAGCAAGCCCTTCTTAAAGTCTAGGTGGTGGCTTTGTTCTCCTCACAGAGGAGGCTAGCTGGAAAAGGGACAAGGACCAGAGGGACCACAGAAGCCTCTCCAAGACTTTCTTCACATCCTCAGGATGGCTGGGCAGGAAGGGGGTCCACAGGCCTCTGGGGTGTGGCCATCTGAGAAGCCATGGAATCCAAGTGGGAGGAAAGCAGTGGCAGCTGTCATTGGACAGGGCCTTCTGTGGAGGGACAGTGCCGACTGTGGGCCTGAAAACCAGCCCAGGAGCCTAGACCTACACTGCAATGGTGGGGGTGGGGGTGGGGGCTGGACAGAGGGGACCTCAGGTGCCGTGTGCCTGAGTTCCCCCTGCTGCTCCCCTCCAGGGAGCCAGAAGTGGGGGGCACACTAAGCTCTTTTGTTTGGTAGAGATACACTCTGAGCAGAGTAGTCTGGTCCATCCCAACATGCCACCATCGTGGCCCTGTACCTATGGCACACGCATATCTTGATTTAAAGAAAAAGGAAAAAGCAAAACAAAACCAAAAACTGCTGAGTCAGTTTTTGATCCCATGACATCACTGGGCTCCACATGACCCTTCCCAGGATTCAGTCAGAGAGACAAAGCACGTTCCAGAAAACCAGTCTGAACCGGTTCCAGACAACACAGCTGAAGTGAAGTGTTGTTAACCCTAGCAGAGACAGGACAGCTTGCTGGCATTCCACAGCAAGGGTCTGGGACAAGGAGTTCTTAAAGGGGCCGCTCAGAATCCAGTTTTAACACCACAGAACACCAAACTAGAGAAAGTAAGAGAAAACCCAGAGTTCACTATGGACAGGGAAAAAAATCCGGCTGAGACCTGGCTGTATCCAGGGGATAGTTTTTCATGGTTTATTTGGCACCCAGGTACCCTGCAGAGGCATCGCAGGATACCTCCTTCTAGGTGGCTCAGTTTCTCCACTGGCAAATATGGTTGGAAAGGCCTGTCCTAGACAAAGCTGGTTCTGAGAGACTGGGAACATCCTATCAAAGATATACTCCCAAAGTCAAAGCAGTGTCGCCTCCCCCCTCCCCCACCCAGAAGGCCCCCTGACCCATCTCTAGAACCTGAGGTCAGGAGCTCTCCCTCAGCAACCATCAGATACAGCTGATGCTCTAACCCCAATATGATTCAGTCCAGGGTGGATCGAGATAGGGTCCCAAACCCTATCATCTGCACCCACCCTCCTGCCACTCCAATCTGTACCATGCCAACCCCCTCCCCCAGCCACGCCTCCACTCCACTCCACCAGCACCTCTCAGCTCTGGAGTTACACAGCTTCCTCCAACACAACTGACCACAAACTCCATCAACCCTGCTGACGCTCTGTCTTGTCTCCCTGTGAAAGCAAACAAGTCACTACCCTGGGGTGTCAGGGCTGCCTGAAGCAGAGCTGCTGAGTTCTAGAACAAGTGAGGAGGCAGACTGTGGCAGTATCCTCAAACAGGATACAAGCACACCCAGGCCTGGACAGGGAAAGATGGGAGCCCAGGACCTCTGACAAGAAGAGCATGTGGGAACTGGGGAACATTATGACTCTCAAGAGTGAAGCTTGCTGGGTGGCGGAGGCACAGCAGGGTGGTGGTGTCATACACTTTTAACCCCAACACTCTGGGAAGCAGAGGCAGGTGGATCTGAGTTCGAGGCCAACCTGTTCTACAGAGTTGAGGTCCAGTACATCCAGGCTACACAGAGAAACCCCGTCTGGAAAAACCAGAAAGAGTGAAGCTCTAGGCGTGGCCCTGCTCTCACTACACAACCACAACTGCTGCAGCCAGGCAGGGATTTCCTAGCGTGGCCTCAAACTCTCAGCTCATCTGAATCCACAAGAGACCCTGCCTAAGGTCTACCTTCTACCCCTCACTGCCTCACTTCCTCGTTGCTATGAAAGGGCTAAGGAAAGCAAGAGTCTAACCGATTGGGGGAACTTTATATCTCTAGGACAGCCCCCCCATCACGTGGTGATAGTTATCTGTTCAGAACTAAACAGGGTCCAGGAGCCCAACAGCATGAATTAGGACCCTGTCACTCGGCCCACCTGGGCCCAAAACCTTGAACCAACCTCAGGGTGGGCTGGGCTGAAGGCAGGTGAGGGAATGCCAGGGATTTGCCTTTCCATCTCCAGAAAGATAAGCAGAGCTAGAGGACTAGGCACAACACAGAGGTCCCAAGCAGGCTGTGCCCTCTCCACTAGGGCCTCAGTATACCCTTGTGCCCTTGGGGACTGACCAATCCAGACCAGCATGGTATTCTGTGGTAGGAAGAGCCCCAACCCCCACAAGGCCAGCAGGAGCAAAGTCTCCCTGGGACCAGTGCTGACAGCCACTGTACTGCAGGCACCAAGTAGGCAGGAAGGAGAAAAGCCTCCCCTAGGAAGCATCCTAAGAGACAGAGAAAGGGGCTGGATCACTCACTTACAAATGAGGTGGGTTTCCAAATTCCCAGAGGGAAGAAGAAAACTGCCCCACCAGAGTAGCTACCACAGGGGGAGGGCCTCACCAGCCACTGCCTGCATGGCAGCACACATGGTGGTCATCTTCAGGGTCCAGATGTGAATGAAAGTGACAAGGGCAAGGAGAGAGGCTACAGCACTGAGAGCAAGAGTCTTCCTGCTCTCTCCAAACATCCAGGGCATGCTGCAGCAACCCTAACAACCGCCGGTGAGGCCTGAAGGCTGGTGGGCAGACCGAGTCCTATATAGGTGTCTCTGCCAGCCTGGCGCCAAGGGGCTGAGTCCTTGTGGTCCACCAAAGGTGGGCAGGTCTCTGAGCAGCAAACTCCATTAACTGCTTCCTTTCAGTAAAATGCCACAGCGCACTGGAGGGAGGGCCTCGGGCAGGAACTCAGCTCTAAGTCAGGTGCCAAAGGCAAAGCGGCCATCCCCAGCTAACTGACCCACAGACACAAGTCAGCCCAACCGCATACCAAGGAACATAAAACAAAGTCAAATGGGTTATTAAAGAAAAGACAAGGTGATGGGGAAGAAAAAGTTAAGACTGCAGTTTGATGCAGTGATCCCTGCTTTGGGGCAGCCTCTACCCTGGGTTCTGAGGGACATCACTTCCTATCTGGAGGAACGCAGGGCTTATGAAGCAGCTGCCGTCCTCAGACAAGGACACATGGAGCCCAATCATAAGGCACAGAGGTCCTGCTGCCCAGCTCCTCCTGGCCTGCAGCTGGCACTGTCCAGAGAGTTGTGGCCCAAGTTGGAGGCCAAGTCACCCCTATCAGCAACCGGGGCTGAGTTCCAGGACAGTCAGTGCTATTATACAGAGAAATCCTGTCTCAAAAACCTAAAGAAGTTCCCATGAATTATATACACCTTTTTTTTTTCTGAGACAAGGTAGACCAGGTTGGCCTTGAACTCAGAAATAAATCTGCCTATGCTCACAGTGTGCTGAGATTAAAGGCAAGTGTCACTACCCCTGGCACTTTTTTAAAAAGGTATTTTATCTGTATGAGTGTTCTATGTTTCTATGTGTATTGTGTCAGTCTGAAGAAGTCAGATGAGGGTGCCTGATACTTGGAACTGGGGATCTAGAGTGATCGGTGAGCCACCACATAGGTGTGGGGAACAGAATTCAGATCTTCTGGAAGAGCAACAAAAACTCTTAACCTCTGAGCCCCCAGTCATCGCCCCTCCCAAACTATACATGTATACTGTAGCATATGCCCACACAACATAACATAAACGCGTAAGTAAAATCAAATCAGAAAAGCCCACCAGTCTGTCCTAGGCTTTCAAAGCCCTAAAGAGGAGATGCAGGGTTCCTGGTAACTTGCAGTACAAGGGTCACACTGGGCCTTGCAAATGTCCTTTCCAAAATACCTCACTTATGCCAGGGCTCATCAGATGCCAAACGCCCAGAGTCTCACAAGCTGAGGACAGGTATCCTCTCAATAAAGTGACAGGAACCAAACTGTAGGTGGGCCTAGTGGTCAGGTTCCCACCTCCTCCTTCCCCCAATACTGACCTGCAGCAGCATCTTCTGCTGCATGTTAAAAACAAAACAAAACAAAAAACCCGCTCCACTGAATGACGGGTGCACTACATGTCTTCACCTTCAGGCATGCTTGCACACCCACTGTACACACGCGAGACCAGGAAGATGGAACAGCTACCCTGAACAGAACAAAGGCTCCCCTGTGTGGTGATCAGGGAATAGGCCACTGACAAGAGGCCATGGCATGGGTGACTGAAGGATTTCACAAAAAGGTGATTTATAAGAACACAGGCAGGCGGCAGCAGCTCAGGATGGATGTTCTTTGTCTATGCAAGAGTAGGAACACCTCATCAATGTCATTGGTGTGTCCATAGCTTGGCAAGGGAATCTCTCTTTCTCTCTGTGTCTCTCTCTCTCCCCCTTCCCCCCTTCCCCAGCAGGACTGAATAAATGAGCAAATGTGGGCTTCCCTCTGGGGTTGGGGCTGGCAGGACCCTTGGGCCCCACCCAGTGTGAACAGGAAGGCAGTGAGCTCTTAGCCAGCAGCATCCCCAGGGTCAGGCCAGCAGCCGCTCCCTGTAGGGTTGGATGTGATCACCAGCCCCCAGTTTACAGGTGAGGGGTAGGCATCCCCTGGAGTCTGGGATGTTAGGGCTGCAGTCTGCACTGCTCTAGGCAAAGCCCCACAGACAGCACCTCCCAAATGACCCCTGCAGGTTCCAGGGACCTGGACCACCCTAAGAGTGAGTACCTCAAGCTGTGCATGTTCTACTGAGATAGGCACAGCACAAACTCCACTGAGTGCCATGAGAACACACCTAAGCTGCAGTGTTCCTCTAAGCCACTTAGGGTGTGGAACCAGGCAGAAAAAAAAAACACAGGTCTGTGGGCAAAAGAAGCCAAAGACAAGACCGTTCAGAACTCCACTCAAACAACAGAAACATGGGACCCAATCAATATGATAAATGGGCTACAGCTAA